GTGGCTCATGCCTGTAATCCAAGCACTTTGGAGGCCAAGGCGGGCAGATCACCTGAGGTCGGGAGTTCAAGACCAGCCTGACCAACATGGTGAAACCCCGTCTTTAAAAAAAAAAAAAAAAGAAACAAAGTCTTGCTCTTGTTGCCCACCGTGGAGTGCAGTGGCGTGATCTCAGCTCACTGCAACCTCCGCCTCCTGGACTCAAGGAGTTCTCCTGCCTCAGCCTCCCTTGTAGCTGGGGTTACAGAGGCGTAACTCAGCTGTACCGAGAACAGCTGGCAAAAGCCTTGACTTCTCTCCAGAGAAGAGCCCAGCTAATTTTTGTATTTTTAGTAGAGATGGGGTTTCACCATGTTGGTTAGGCTGGTTTTGAACTCCTAATCTCAGGTAATCGACCTGCCTCAGCCTCCCAAAGATCTGGGATTACAGGCGTGAGAAGCTACACCTGGCCTACTGAGACATGTTTGACTGTCAGAACTTCACAGGGTGCTGCTCCTGACAGCTGGTGGTAGAGACCAGGAATACTGAAATGTACAGAGCAGCACATCGTAACGATCCAGTCCATTATCCACAGTGTGAGGTTTGCAAGAGTGACAGGCACCCAGGGAGGGAGTTTAGCAGCAGCTTACAGTGAGGGGGGACCTGAGGTGACAATGAGCTGTCCTAGATACTGGGACCCCAACAGCACCCAAGGCTTGGGGGAGAGAAGCCGGGGCCAGGGTTGGAGTGGGGTGGGGGCTGTGGTTGCACTGTTAGCCAGCTGGGGTGTTGCTGTGTCACTTGACCCAGTGACTGCTGTCCCCTTCAGCTGCACATGGCAGGGATGGGCTCTTTTTCTGGAGAGGAAGTTGAGGCTTTTGCCAGCTGTTCTCGGTACAGCTGAGGAAGTAAGGCCAGCTTGTGGCTTCTTTGGGGTCCCCTGGGCCCTGCTTATCTGGGCGACTCTGTTGGGTACAACCTAGCCCTGGCCTGTCAATGTACCAGGCTGGTCTGCAGCCCTGCAGAGCTTCTTGGGGTTGGCAGAACTTTTGGTAGGGAGCCCCTGCTCTGCTGCGCATCTCCTTGAAACTTTTTTTTTTTTTTTTGAGACAATGTCTCTCTGTCACCCAGGCTGGAGTGCAGTAGAGTGATCTTGGCTCACTGCAACCTCTGCCTACTGGATTCAAGTGATTCTCCCACCTCAACCTCCCTAGCAGCTGGGACTACAGGCGTGTGCCACTATGCCTGGCTAAGTTTTGCATTTTTAGTAGAGACAGGGTTTTGCCATGTTTCCCAGGCTGGTTTCAAACTCCTGGCCTCAAGTGGTCTGCTCTCCTTGGCCTCCCAAAGTGCTGGGATTACAGGTGTGAGCCACCGCGCCTGGCCACAGTCTGGAAATTCTGTTAGAAGGTTCCACCATGTGTTTATATGGTGGGACTGGCACCTCACCCAGGGGTCCCTGCAGGGTTTTAGGGGGTGGAGTTTCATTGGGTCCCAGACAGGTGGTGTGGTGGATAAAGAAGGCATCTCTCCATTTCTGGGTGGTTTCAGTTCGTTATTTATAAAGGGGTGGACAGGACCCCTTTATAAATAAGGAACAGACAGGTGTCTGGCTGGCCAGGCTACCCAAAGATGAAAGAAACATGTTTACCCAGCATTTGCTCCATTCTGGACGCTGTCTGCGGGCTGGACAAGAGGCAGAAAAAGGGCTGGGCTTGGTGGCTCATGCCTGTAATCTCAGCACTTTGGGAGGCTGAGGTGGGCAGATCACTTGAGGTCAGGAGTTCAAGGCTAGCGTGGCCAACATGGTGAAACCCCATCTCTGCTAAAAATACAAAAATTAGCCAGGCATGGTGGCGGGTGCCTGTAGTTCCAGCTACTTGGGAGGCTAAGGCAGGAGAATCGCTTGAATCCAGGAGACAGAGGTTGAAGTGAGCCGAGATTGTGCCACTGCACTCTAGCCTGGGTGACAGAGTGAGACTCCGCCTCAAAAAAAAAAAAAAAAAGCAGGACAAGCCCTCAGTGGTCCCTGCCCTTGGGCAGCCCACAGTGTTCTCAAAGGATTACACCAAGCCTTGTAAAATCATAAGTGCTTAGCGCTACAAAGGAGATGATCTTGGCATTACAAAGTCTGGCTTAGACAGGGTGGCATCTCTGAGGACATAACCTAAGAAGAAAGGAGGGGGAGGAACAAACGGTACAGTGGGAGGAAAGGTCATTCTTAGCAAAGGGAAGAGCTTGTGCAAATGGCGTGTGGTCTGAAGAAACAAATTGATCTCTAAGAAATAAGGAAGTCAGTGGGCCTCAAGTGGAACAATATTTTTGGGGGTCGTGTAATAGTTTTATTGAGCTATAATTCGGGTACTATACAATTCCCCCATTTGAAGTATGTATTTTAGGTCGGGCACAGTGGCTTATGCCTGTAACCACAGCACTTTGGGAGGGCAAGGTGGGGAGGATCTCTTGAGTCCAGGGGTTCAAGACCAGCGTGGGTACCATGGTGAAACCCAGTCTCTACAAAAAACAAACAAAAAATTAGCCAGGCATGGTGGCACATACCTGCAGTTCCAGCTACATGGAAAGCTAAGGCAGAATCACTTGAGCCCAGGAGGTCGAGGCTGCAGTGAGCCCTGTCTTTAAAAAAAAAAAAAAAGTATATATGCTTTTTAGTAGCCATTACCACAGTCTGTTTTCTTTCGTTTTGTTTTATTTTATTTTTTGAGATGCAGTCTCAGTTTGTTGCCCAGGCTGGAGTGTAATGGCGCTAGTTCTGCTCACTGCAACCTCCACCTCCCAGGTTCAAGCGATTCTCCTGCCTCAGCCTCCCAAGTGTCTGGGATTACAGATGCCTACCACCACGCCCAGCTAATTTTTGTATTTTTAATAGAGACGGGGTTTCACTGTGTTAGCCAGGTTGGTCTCGATTTCCCGACTTTAAGATCCACCTGCCTCAGCCTCCCAAAGTACTGGGATTACAGGCATGAGCCACCTCGCCCAGCCTCTTTTTTTTTTTTTTTTAAGGTAGAGTCTCACTGTGTTGCCCAGGCTGGTGTTGAATTCCTGGGCTCAAGTAATCCTCCTGTGTTGGCGTCCCAAAGTGCTTGGACATATGTTTTCATTTCTCTTGGGTATATACCTAGGAGTTAAATTGCTGGGTTATAAGCTAACTCTTTGCCTTTTTTTTTTTTTTTTTTTTAAAGCAGGAGTCTCGCTATGCTGTGCAGTGTTGCCATCTTGGCTCACTGCAACCTCTGCCTCGCAGGTTCAAGCAATTCTCCTGTCTCAGGCTCCTGAGTAGCTGGGACTCCAGGCACATGCCACCACGCCCAGCTAATTTTTGTATTTTTAGTAGAGACGGCGTTTCACCATATTGGTCAGGCTGGTCTCAAATTCCTGACCTCAAGTGATCCGCCTGCCTCAGCTTCCTGAAGTGCTGAGATTACAGGTGTGAGCCACCGGCCCGTCCCATATTTTTCTTAACCCTTCCTTCCGTCTTTATATATTCTTCCTGTGGGGCGCGTTGACCCAAGCTGGGGTGGGGTCCACGCTGTCTGGGTTCAGTGTTCATTCGGCCTCTCCCCACACAGGACGTGAGCCTGCACTTCGTGCTCTGGGGCTGCCTGCACGTGTACCAGCGCATGATCGACAAGGCAGAAGACGTATGCTTGTTCGTGGCGCAGCCCGGGGAGCTGGTGGGGCAGCTGGCGGTGCTCACTGGAGAACCTCTCATCTTCACACTGCGAGCCCAGCGCGACTGCACTTTCCTGCGGATCTCCAAGTCCGACTTCTACGAGTATGACTGGGCCCGAGGGTGGGGTGCGGGTGGCACTCAGAGAACCCCAACTTGTGGGAATGTCCAGGACCCTGTCCCTCAACCCCACTCCTAGAAGAGCAGAAGGGAGTCCCCAGAGCTGGCCTCCTAGCACCCTTGTAAGACAATTTTGAGGCCTTCCTCTTTCATCCCAAGTTACCACCCATTTTCCCCACTCCTGGGGTGCTCCAGGGAACCCCCAGTCCGGCCCATGCACCTCCTCCTTTCACCTGCAGAATCATGCGCGCACAGCCCAGTGTGGTGCTGAGCGCGGCGCACACAGTGGCAGCCAGGATGTCGCCCTTCGTGCGCCAGATGGACTTCGCCATTGACTGGACGGCGGTGGAGGCAGGACGTGCGCTGTACAGGTGGAGCTCCTACTGCACTGCTCAGGCTGGGCCTAGGGGTGGGGACCTAGGTGTGGTAAGACCTTGCTGACCGCCACGCCCACCCAGGCAGGGGGACCGCTCCGACTGTACCTACATCGTGCTCAACGGGCGGCTGCGTAGCGTGATCCAGCGAGGCAGTGGCAAGAAGGAGCTGGTGGGCGAGTATGGCCGTGGTGACCTCATCGGCGTGGTGAGTGCGGCCCCACCCACCCCCACCCACTGACCTCTGGCCTCTTCTAGGCCAGTCCCCCAACAATGCACACACATTGTCCCGGGCAATCCAGGGAGTAGTGAATGCAACTCCTGACTTCTGAGGTCACCCAGTCCACTCCCTGCCCAGACCTCATTTCGTTGGAAAAGGGAACCCCGCCTGTCGTGGATCCCTGTCCTCTCCCGCTCCCCGGAGTTCTGATGGGTCGCGAGCGACGCTTGCTTCCCTGCACAGCCATTACAGGGGAACCCTAGGTGGGGCAGTACGGCCCCATCTCCACCCATCTTCGGCCTCCCCATTCCCCGCCCAAGCAGCCCCAGTCATGCACGCGGCCCCCCAGGTGGAGGCGTTGACCCGGCAGCCGCGAGCCACGACAGTGCATGCGGTGCGCGACACGGAGCTAGCCAAGCTCCCCGAGGGCACCTTGGGTCACATTAAACGTCGGTACCCGCAGGTGCGGCCAGTTGTGGGTTGGGCAGAGGGGCGGAGGCGGGACGGGGGAGGGGGGGCCGGGCTTAGTGTGTGGGAGGGGTTTTGGGTGGGGTGGGACCCGAGGGAGGGACTTAGGGAGGGCGAGGCCGTGGGAGGGGCTCTTGGGGGTGGGACCCAGGAGCCCCGGCAGAGGAGGGAGAGGTGGGACTCGGACAGCAGCTTCCCGGGTCTCACTGAAATGCCGGTCTCCAACGCCCGCAGGTCGTGACCCGCCTTATCCACCTGCTGAGCCAGAAAATTCTAGGGAATTTGCAGCAGCTGCAAGGACCCTTCCCAGGTGAGAGCCAGCCGGCCCGGGGCATGCTGGGAGATGTAGTCCCGTGCCCAGAGCATGCTGGGAGGGAAGCCTTTTTCCTGAGAGATGCTGGGAAACGGAGTTCCGTGAAGAAATCCTGTCCTGGCCGGTTTCAAACCGGAAGTAGGACCGTGATACAGTGCATGCCGGGAATTGGAGTTCGTGTTCCTGAGCATGCTGGGAAACGGAGTCCTTGAAACCGGGCGTGCTAGTTAGGGGCCCAAAAGTTAATCAGTGGTGCTGGGGGCTGAATCTTTGGTGCTGGAGTTTGCCCGGGAGTCAGGGTTTGCTGGGAAGTTCACAGCCTAGATGTAGTGAGAAAGGGAGTCCTAGATCAGAATATGATGGCAGGGCCAGGCATGGTGCTCATGCCTGTAATCCCAGCACTTTGGGAGGCCGAGGCAGGAGGAGGGAGGAGGCCGAGCCCAGGATACTGAGTTCGAAACCAGCCTGGGCAACATAGTGGGACCCCCGTCTCTAAAAACGTTTCAAACATTAGGTGAGTGTGGTGGCACGTGCTGGTAGTCTCAGCTACTCAGGAGGCTGAGGCGGGAAGATTGCCTGAGCCCAGAAGGCAGAGGCTGCCGTGAGCCGTGATTGTCTCACTGTACTCCACCCTGGAGAACAGAGCTAGAGCCTCTTTCAGAAAAAATAAAACAAACTCCCCATACCATGATGGAAAATAGTCCATGGATTATTGTTTAGGATTCTGGGCACCTTGCCTTCTGAAGTTACAGGCATGCTGGAAGATGTAGCTCCCCATCTCAGCCTGTGGTTTCAGTGAGCTAGAATAGAATGTGGAGTGCAGTGGGGTTGGAGGCCTGCTGAAATGTGGCCCTGAGTTTCTACATTGTGGTGGCCAGATTCTGGGCCAGCCTAGCAACCTAGATACTCCCTTTTCCCCCAGGCCCGCTACCCGATTGGCCCTGACCCCCAGATCCCCCAAGGCAGGGGCAGGGCAGTAGTGGCAGAAAAGACTTCATTAAGAAATTACAGAGGCTGGGTGCAGTGGCTCACATCTGTAATCCCAACACTTTGGGAGACTGAAGTAGGTGAATCACCTGAGGTCAGGAGTTCAAGACCAGCCTGACCAATGCGGTGAACCTCTGTCTCTTAGAAAATAAAAATGAAAAAATTAAATAAAAATACAAAAACTAGCCAGGCCTAGTGGCGGGTGCCTGTAATCCCAGCCATTTGAGAGATTGAGGCAGGAGAATTGCTTGAGCCGAAGAGGTGGAGGTTCCAGTGAGCCGAGACTGTGCCACTGCACTCCAGCCTGGTCAACAAGAGCGAAACTCCATCTCAAAAAAAAAAAAAAAAAAAGAAGAGAAAGAAATTACAGATAAACAACAAATACAATACCTGGAAGACAAAAGAGGATCATGATGGCATGTAACTTGCAGAGGGAGGGAGAAAGGGAGGGAGAAAGACGCTTTTCTAAGGACAGTGAGCTGAGACTTGACCAATGAGAGGGACCAGACATGGAAGAGAAACCAGAGGTGCTGCACTGGTGACTGGTGGTTTTGAAGCACTGAAAGGAGGAAAGTGATCAAGGGGAAAGATGGAGCGGGACTGAGGGGTAAGTCGCATAGGGGCTAGGGGCTGTGGACACGCTTTTGAGCTTATTTAGATTGGTATAGGGGAGGAGGGATGCCACCAGTGAGAAGGCAGCTAGAGGTCTAGGCAAGATATGGGAGTTGACAGCAGCTTGGTCAGGGCTGTCAGTGGAGAAGCTGGGAAGCAACAAATGGGTCAAAAGTAGCTTTATTTCTTCTCTTTCCTTTTGGTTTTTTTTTTTTTTAGACAAAGGACAGGGTCTCACTCTGTCACCCAGGCTGGAGTGCAGTGGCACAGCTCACTGCAACTTCTGCCTCCTGGGTTCAAGTGATTCTGCTGCCTCAGCCTCCCAAGTAGCTGGGATTCCAGGCATATACCACCATGCCTGGCTAATTGTTTTGTATTTTTAGTAGAGTGGGGTTTCTCCATGTTGGCCAGGCTAAAAGTAGCTTTATTTCTGCCTCGTTTTGTGTTCAGTTCCCTCCATTGGACAAAGGAGCCAGGGCCAGAATGGGGTGGGGGCGCCGATTGATCTCCCAAGTACAGTGAATCTGAATGGTTGTAGAGTTGTGCAATGGATCCCACTGGGGTGATTAGGGTCCCACATGGAGGGTGGGTGACCAAGTTTTAACCAAAGAGGGGACAGTGGTTGAGGCTGAGGGTCCAGGACTAGAGCTATGGCTTTCAGTATGGTAGAGTCAAGACTCTGGGCAGCTAGGCGCTGCAGTTTGGGAGCGGAGGGGCAGGAATTTCAGATGTGGAGGAAGAAGAAGACGAGGAGGAGGAGGAGGGTTTGTCTCTCCAGACACAGGTTCGCACCGCAGATCTCATCCATTGGGTTCTCAGCAGGCTCTGGGCTGGGTGTCCCCCCGCACTCGGAACTCACCAACCCAGCCAGCAACCTGGCAACAGTGGCAGTCCTGCCTGTGTGTGCTGAGGTGCCCATGGTGGCCTTCACACTGGAGCTACAGCATGCCCTGCAGGCCATTGGTCAGTGGGGTGAGGGACATGGGTGGGGGCTGGCCATGGGGGGGACATTAGTGAGTGAGAGATGTTTGGGTAAGTCAGTTGGGGGTTGGGGGGAAACCAGGGTCACAGGGGCGGGGTAATGGATATTCTCTTCCGAGTTAGGCCCCTGTTTTGTGGAGCATGGTTTCCAATCTCCCTTCCCCACCTATTTCTAGGTCCCACGCTACTCCTTAACAGTGATATCATCCGGGCACGCCTGGGGGCCTCCGCGCTGGATAGGTGTGTGTCGAGGAAGGGAGTGGGGAGGGTGATGGGTGGGCTTGGAGCCCCAGATTCTTTCAGACCTAGATTCAAGTTCTCATCTTCCAACCACGAAACATGCATCCTACCCATAGGTCAATGGGGAGATTCACAGTGGTGTGAATCTGCCCACCAGGGCACGGATTTCCATGGTGGGAGTTTGGGTGTCTAGGCTCCTCCCAGCAACGGAGCTATGTGGTCTCGGGGAGCACATAACCCCAGGCCAGCCCCAGGATGACGCTGCCACCATCCCACCCCAGCATCCAAGAGTTCCGGCTGTCAGGGTGGTTGGCCCAGCAGGAGGACGCACACCGCATCGTACTCTACCAGACGGACGCCTCACTGACGCCCTGGACCGTGCGCTGCCTGCGCCAGGCCGACTGCATCCTCATCGTGGGCCTGGGGGACCAGGAGCCCACCCTCGGCCAGGTCAGGAGCCCGTGCCCCCTCTCACTCACCTCGGGCCCCATCCCTTGCCCTCCTGTGCCTACACCAGGCCACGTGCACCCTCGCATGGGGGTGGGCAATCAGGACCCAGGTGTGGCTTAGGTGGTGGCGGGGCAGCCAGTGACCTCCGCTGTCCATCTTCTGCAGCTAGAGCAGATGCTGGAGAACACAGCCGTGCGTGCTCTCAAGCAGCTCGTCCTGCTGCACCGAGAGGAGGGCGCGGGCCCCACGCGCACCGTGGAGTGGCTCAATATGCGTAGCTGGTGCTCCGGGCACCTGCACCTGCGCTGTCCACGCCGCCTCTTCTCGCGCCGCAGCCCCGCCAAGCTGGTGAGGAGCGGGCTGGCCCCCACTTTCCAGGGGAGTGGCTACTGGGCGTGGTTTGTGATATTGGGGCGGGGCCTGGGAGATCTGGGGACAGGTTCAAAGATAAGGGTGTGGGGGTGGGGTATCTGGTGGACCCCGCCTTCATGCTCCTGGGTCGCGGCTCTCTCCCCCATCCCAGCATGAGCTCTACGAGAAGGTTTTCTCCAGGCGGGCGGACCGGCACAGTGACTTCTCCCGCTTGGCGAGGGTGCTCACAGGGAACACCATTGCCCTCGTGCTGGGCGGGGGCGGGGCCAGGTGAGGGGCGGGGCTTGCTCTCTGGGGGCGGGGCCTGGGATATCCGAGGTGGGAGCTGCTTCCCGGGAGAGACCCCCGTGAGTGCGGGCCGGCCCTTTTTTTGTTCCTTAGCTGTGTGGGAGGTGGGAGGAGGTAGGGGCAGAGGAGCTCCTGCGAGTGGGGCCTAGAGAGTCCCTGGGCCCGTTTTCCCGGCAGGGGCTGTTCACACATTGGGGTGCTGAAGGCATTAGAGGAGGCGGGAGTTCCTGTGGACCTGGTGGGCGGCACGTCCATTGGCTCTTTCATCGGGGCCCTGTACGCGGAGGAGCGCAGCGCCAGCCGCACGAAGCAGCGGGCCCGGGAGTGGGCCAAGGTGTGTGTTGGGAGGAGGGGTTGTGGCACCCCAGGAGCGCCATAAAACCCGTGGCTCCACCCTAACCTGATCCCATGGGGGGCCTCCAGGCTTAGGGTGACCCTTCCTGATTGAATCTGTGAACCCCACCTGTCCAGACTTTTATAGATACGCTTCTAGGACTCTGAGTGACCACTCTGGGACCTTCTGTGTAGTGACCCTAACCCATAACCCCTAGCTAGAGCACCCAGGGCCCTTGGTGACCACATCATCTCTAAGTGCTCCTTTTTTTGTTGTTGTTTGTTTGAGATGGAGTCTTGCTCTGTGGCCCAGGCTGGAGGGCAATGGTGGGATCTCAGCTCACTGCAGTCTCCACCTCCTTGGTTCAAGTGATTCTCCTGCCTCAGCCTCCCAAGTAGCTGGGACTACAGGCGTGCCCCACCAGCCCAGCAATTTTTTTTTGTATTTTAGTAGATACGGGGTCTTATCATGTTAGCTAGGTTGCTCTCGAATTCCTGGCCTCAAGTGATCTGCCCACCTCAGCCTTTCAAAGTGGTGGGATTTGTGACGTCCTCCACTGCGCCAGACCCCTAAGTGCTCCTTGCTCACCCTCTGTTGGGGAACCCTATCTGTGACCCCACATGACCTCTATTTGACCCTGTCTGGCCGCCTTGTCCCTAGAGCATGACTTCAGTGCTGGAACCAGTGTTGGATCTCACGTATCCAGTCACCTCCATGTTCACTGGCTCTGCCTTTAACCGCAGCATCCACCGGGTCTTCCAGGATAAGCAGATTGAGGTAGGCCCACCCCATCCCTTGCCCTGCCCACCCCTCCCGAAAGGATTCCCCTATTCCTCCCCCACCTCGGTCCCTCTCCCCGCAGGACTTGTGGCTACCTTATTTCAACGTGACCACAGATATCACTGCCTCAGCCATGCGAGTCCACAAAGATGGTGGGTGTCCCCGCCCAGCCCGCAGCAACCGCTGACGCCACATGGGGTTGGGGGGATGCTTCTGGGAGGGCCGCTGAGCATCTGGGACGTTGTTAACACGAGTGACCGTCCACCCCGGCCCGATCACCGACCACTAACCGCCACCCACTAATGCCCTGGAGACCCCAGGTACGTCACTCCTCGGGGGAGGGGAGCAGGAAGGCTTGTCAGGCGCCTTACCACCCTCACGCCGTCCCCACAGGCTGCGTGTGGCGTTACATCCGGGCCAGCGCCTCCTACTGCCCCTACCTGCCCCCACTGTGCGATCCCAAGGACGGGCACCTGCTGGTGGATGGGTGCTACGTTAACAACGTCCCAGGTCAGCGAGTCCACCGGGCTGGCCGGGCTTCTGGCATGTCTGAGCGTGTCTGTGCGTGTCTGTGTCTGTGTGTCCCACCGCGCAGGCTCCCTGTGGCGGTATGTGCGCGCCAGCATGACGCTGTCGGGCTACCTGCCCCCGCTGTGCGACCCCAAGGACGGGCACCTGCTCATGGATGGCGGCTACATCAACAACCTGCCAGGCAAGTGGCTGCCCGAGCTGCCCACACATGCGAGCCCCTCCTGCACCACACGCACGGGCATACACAGACCAGCTCTATGACAGGACGCATGCCCAAGCCGCCTGTGCAGGGGTGCAGACACACACACACACACACGCAGTCATGTGCCCAAGATAATACATGGATGTGCTCATGGACGGCAGCATGTGCGGTTAAAATCTACATCCTGGCAGGCGCAGTGGCTCACGCCTGTCATCCCACACTTTAGGAGGCCGAGGCAGGCAGATTACCTGAGGTCAGGAGTTTGAGACCATCCTGGCCAACATGGTGAAACTTGTCTCTACTCAAAATAACAAAAAATTAGCTGGGCATGGTGTTGGGTGCTTGTAATCCCAACCACTCCAGAGGCTGAGGCAGGAGAATCGTTTGAACCCTGGACGTGGAGGTTGCAAGGAGCCGAGGTCGCACCATTGCACTCCAGTTTGGGTGACAGAGCGAGACTCCGTCTTAAAAAAAAAACTACAGCCACCTGCTGGTGTGTTGTGTTAAGCCCAAGTGGGTATACACTCGAGGGATGGGTGCCCATGTCCACACACACGTCAGGGAACATGCAGGTGAAATGCGACACTCATGCATGCACACCAGCTACATACGCACATGCATTCCCTCAGGGGCAGGTAAGGCACATGCACATGTGTACACACAGCCAGGTACATGAGCACAGGTGAACACGCATGTCAGTGAAAGAGGTCATTTGTGTATGCATGCCAGTCTGTCGCAGTTGCCCTGGACGTTCCCTAAAACATGCAGGGATGTGCACACACATAGAAGGGATGCCACAGCTCTATGATCTGGTTAAGCCAGGCCTGCCACCTTTATGGGTGTACGTAAGAGGCGGGCAAGTACACAACTTAAAATTTTGGCTGGCCACAGTGGCTCACACCTGTAATCCCAGCACTTTGGGAGGCCAAAGTGGGAGGATCACCTGAGGTCAGGAGTTTGAGACCAACCTTGCCAACATAGTGAAACCCCATCTCTATTAAAAATACAAAACTTGGCTGGGCGCAGTGGCTCAAGCCTGTAATCCCAGCACTTTGGGAGGCCGAGGCAGGTGGATCACGAGGTCAAGAGATCAAGACCATCCTGGTCAACATGGTGAAACGCTGTCTCTACTAAAACTACAAAAAATTAGCTGGGCATGGTGGCGCGTGCCTGTAGTCCCAGCTACTCAGGAGGCTGAGGCAGGAGAATTGCCTGAACCCGGGAGGCGGAGGTTGCGGTGAGCTGAGATCGCGCCATTGCACTCCAGCCTGGGTAACATGAGCGAAACTCCGTCTCAAAAAAAAAAAAAAAAAAAAAAAAAAAACTTAGCTGGGCAAGGTAGCAGGTGCCTGTAATTCCAGCTACTCAGGAGGCTGAGGCAGGAGAATCGCTTGAACCGGGGGCTGGAGTTTGCAGTGAGCCAAGATCGTGCCACTTCACTCCAGCCTGGGCAAAAGAGTGAGACTGTCTCAAAAAAACAAACAAAAAAATTCCACACCCAGAAAGTGTATATACCCAAATAGACATGTATGATAGCTGCACACATGCTTACAATCTTGTAGGCCAGGGGTGGGCAAACTATGACCCACAGGCTGAATCTGGCCCTTTGTTTGATTTTATAAATAAAGCTTTATTGAGCCAGGCAGAGTGGCTCACAACTGTAATCCCAGCACTTTGGGAGGCTGAGGCAGACAGATCACCTAAGGTCAGGAGCTCAAGACCAGCCTGACCAATGTGGCAAAACCCTGTCTCTACTAAAAATACAAAAATTAGCCGGGTGTGGTGGTACACACCTGTAATCTGAGCTACTCAGGAGGTTGAGGCAGGAGAATTGCTTGAACCCAGGCGAGCCGAGATCACGCCACCACACCTCAGCCTGGGCAACAGTGAGAGTCCATCTCCAAAAAAAAAAATCAAAACCAAAAAAAAGTTTGATTGAGACACAGCCCACCCAGTCATTTCTGTGGCTGCTTCTGCGCAGCAGATGTGGAGTCACTGGGACAGAAACCATGTGGTCCACAAAGACAGAGTTACCTCCTCTCAGCCCTTTGCAGAGTTTGCCAACTCCCACTGCTACAGTCTTTCTAGACAGATAAACACATGTCGTAAACCCACTCATGTGAGCATGTGTGTGCAGACCTGCAGGTGACAGCACACGGAGATACACAAGGAAACACGTCTGGACAGTGATCCAGCTCTGTAATGAACATGAACAGTCCCAGGTGTGTCTACAGAGATGAAGGCACAGCCAGAGATGGACCTGTTCACAGAAACAGCCTCCCATGGGGTCTTAGACAGCAGGGCCGCAAGCAGGCACACACGGACACGCAGACGTGGACACATGGACCTAGACCCATAGAGAAGCTCTAGGGAGCTTCTTTGAAATCTCCATCCACCTGCTGGTGTGCTGTGTTAGGCACAAGTGGATATACATTCAAGATCCATTACAAGAGATGCATGTGTAAAGTCCAGTAGAGAACTGGGTGTCTTCCTGGGCTGGATCTGGCTACAGGACATTGGTTTTGCTTCCCCAGAATCACTGGGAGATTCTCCCTAAGGCACACAGCCATGCAGACACAGGCCCATGGAGACACCACCCGCCCCTGTCCACTCCCTCTGTCCTGCTTCCTTAGTCTCCCCCATCCCTTCTTGCTCTCTGTCCCTTGTCTTGGCCTCGGGAACCACCTCTGTGCCTGGGTTCTTGCTCCTTTTCATGTCTCTGACCTGGGTATCTCTTCCTCCTGCTCTCTCTACTCTGTCTCTCTCTCCTCCTATATCTCGGTTTCCCTTGTGTCTGGCCTCCCATCTCTTCTCCCACTGCCTTTGTCCCTGTTTCCCCAGAACTCAATACTTGCTGGGCATGGTGGCTCACACCTGTAATCCCAACACTTTGGGAGACTGAGGTGGGCGGATCACTTGAGGTCAGGAGTTTGAGGCCAGCCTGGCCAACATGATGAGACCCCATTTCTACTAAAAATACAAAATTAGCCAGGCGTGGTGGTGTGGGGCTCTAATCCCAGCTACTCCGGAGGCTGAGGCAGGAGAATCACTTGAACCGGGGAGGCGGAGGTTGCACTGAACTGAGATGGTACCACTGCACTCCAGCCTGGGTGACAGAATCAGACACTGTCTAAAAAAAAAAAAAAAAAAAAAACACCCAACACCAGACCCCACCCCCTCAACTTCAATTGCATCATTTCCATGCCCTGTACAAGACAGCATGTCGTTTGCATGTATGGTTTTTTTGTGTGATCATTTGCATGATGGCGTCTATATGACTGGGTTGAACATCTCTGCCCTGGGCCCCCGAGGGGAGAGCAGCCTGCTGACCCCCTGGCCCCACAGCGGACATCGCCCGCAGCATGGGTGCCAAAACGGTCATCGCCATCGATGTGGGGAGCCAGGATGAGACAGACCTCAGCACCTATGGGGACAGCCTGTCCGGCTGGTGGCTGCTGTGGAAACGGCTGAACCCCTGGGCGGACAAAGTGAAGGTTCCAGACATGGCCGAGATCCAGTCCCGCCTGGCCTACGTGTCCTGCGTGCGACAGCTGGAGGTGGTCAAGTCTAGCTCCTACTGCGAGTACCTGCGCCCGCCCATTGACTGCTTCAAGACCATGGACTTCGGGAAGTTCGACCAGATCTATGTGAGTGGGCAGGAGTGACATGGTGCCTGCATATTTAAGTAGCAAAGCATTGCCAGTGGTTCGGCAAAGCTTTGCCATTTAAAGCCCAGAGCAGTGTGGGGGGGAGGAATCCAGGAATCCCATCTGGAATCTGTGGGAAACAGATCTGTGATCAATTAGTGATGTCTGCAGGGGATGTGGTAGGGGTGTGGCTGTGCATGTGCTGTGTATTGAGTGTTTCTCCTTATGAGCCAGCTGCACCCGTGGAAGCACTGTATAGCGATTTCTAGTGCCATTTCTGTGTTGGTGGGAATAAGAATAGTGATGGAGTAGTAATGTCTGTCACAGGTCCAGGAGAGGGAGGTAGCAATTTGTGTATTATGTGCCACTGACCCTGAAAAATGTGCCATAACCCTAGCCAACTGAAATTGATCAGGGGGCCAGACATGGTGACTCATACCTGTAATCCCAGCACCTTGGGAAGCTGAGGTGGGAGGATTGCTTGAAGCCAGGAGTTCAAGACCAGCCTGGGCAACATAGCAACACCCCAACTCTACAAAGATTAAAAATAAAAAATTAGCTGAGTGTGGTGGTGAATGTCTGTTATCCCAGCTACTCGGGAGGCTGAAATGAGAGGATCACTTGAGCCCAGGAGTTCAAGGCTGCAGTGAGCTGTGATTGCATCAGTGTACTCCAGTCTGAATGACAGAGCAAAACTCTGTCTGTAAGAAAAAAGAAAGGGCCGGGCACAGTGGCTCATGCATATAATCCCAGCATTTTGGGAGGCTGAGGCAGGCAGATCACTTGAAATCAGGAGTTCGACACCACTTGGTCAATGTGGTAAAACCTCATCTCTACTAAATATACAAAAATTTGCTGGGTGTGGTGGCACATGCCTGTAGTCCCAGCTATTTGAGAGGCTGAAGCAGGAAAATCGCTTGAACCCAGGAGGCAGAGGTTGCAGTGAACCAAGATTGTGCCATTGCACTCAAGCCTGGGAGTGCAGTCTCATAATAATAATTTTAAAAATTAAATATTAAAATAACATTTTTTTTTTTAAAAATTGATCAGTAGCTGCAGACCAGAAGCCCTGAGTCTCAGTAGAAATGTGTGATGTCCTTTGTGGGCTCACTGGGCTAGCATGCCATGAGAAACTTAAAAGGTTTGCTGTGGGCTTGGGAGATGGCGATATCCACAGATGAACTCCCTGTTTGCAGACTTCAGAGTAAGCTTGCACGTCACCACCATGTGTTATTTGGTACCCAGCACCCTGCATGGGGCCAAGTGGGAAAGAACATGGAGAGATTGATTGGTAATGTCTGTCAACAGCAGGAGAGGGAATGTGTAGGTGAGTGTGCTATGTGCAGCTGACTGTGAAATAGGTTTAATCTCAAATGCCAGCTGCCCCAGAGCATCAGGCTTTTGAGGGACCAGAGAAGGGGCAGACAGTGGGGACAAGCAAAGCAAGATTGCAAGCATGGACTCAGCCCCTCACTTCCCATAGGATGTGGGCTACCAGTACGGGAAGGCGGTGTTTGGAGGCTGGAGCCGTGGCAACGTCATTGAGAAAATGCTCACAGACCGGCGGTCTGCAGACCTCAATGAGAGCCGTCGTGCAGACGTAAGCCTGTGATGTTCCCGTACTGGGGCCACTCTGACTCCAGTGATTCCAAAGCCGGGCCCCCTGAAAGTCTCCTGCAAACCTCAGATGGCCCCATATATCCCTGGGTTTTGCTGAGCTCTCAGACCTCTGCTGACTTAAGAGAGTTGCCACTCTAGGATCTCCTCTAAGCCCCTAATGCACCACTGGGCCCCCCAGGGGCCCCAAGACTCTATGACCTCCCCAAGAGCCTTACCAACATCACCCCACAGGTGCTTGCTTTCCCAAGCTCTGGTTTCACCGACTTGGCAGAGATTGTGTCCCGGATTGAGCCCCCCACGAGCTACGTCTCTGATGGCTGTGCTGATGGTGAGGGGCCCAGAGGACTCCCAAGAGGGAGGGGAGTGGCTGGAGATGGCAAGCCAGCCCTGATCCCCTCACCCATGCCCTGCTCCCCAATTCCAGGAGAGGAGTCAGATTGCCTGACAGAGTACGAGGAGGATGCCGGACCTGACTGCTCAAGGGATGAAGGCGGGTCGCCTGAAGGCGCAAGCCCCAGCACTGCCTCTGAGATGGTAAGAGTGGGCAGCCCAGGGTCCCCTCACATCCTTGGAAGGGTCATGAGTACAGTGGGAGGGGGTGTATCTGAGATCCTGTGTGCTGGGTGCTGGCTGACGTGCGCAGTGATGTATCAGTGTCCCATACTGGGTGACATGCTTGTGTGTGACCTGTCCCTGCAGGAGGAGGAGAAGTCGATTCTCCGGCACCGGCGCTGTCTGCCCCAGGAGCCACCCGGCTCAGCCACAGATGCCTGAGGACCTCACCAGGGGTCACCCCTTTATCCCCACCCCTGGACTGGGCTGGGGATGGCCCTGTGGGGGTACTCATTCCCCCTCCTGCTGCTATGCCTGTGACCCCCGGGGCCCACACACTGGAATGACCAGCCCCAAGGGGGCACAGTGCTGCACTGATGACTTGACCAGTCCCCTCCCCTAATAAACTCACCTATTGGAAATGGCCTCCTGTCATCTTCAGGCTGGGGGCTCACCTTCTGTGCTCAGGATGGCGGGGGATGCGGTCTGACACACCTGGTGCTTGCCCATGCAGGGAGTGCCTTTCTAGAATTCACAAGGAGCCCCACTAGGTGCTTCTCCCCACTCTGCCCTCTCTCTGGCACCTCAGAAGCCAGTGCTGACTCCAGACAACGCCCGAACTTTCCATGCCACCCTCCAGGGCTCACAGGTGCTTTTAGGGGCCTGATATGGCACCCCGCAATTGCTTTTTTTTTTTTTTTAGACGAGTCTCGCTCTGTTGCTCAGGCTGGAGTGCAGTGGCATGATCTCCACTCATTGCAACCTCCACCTCCCAGGTTCAAGTGATTCTCCTGCCTTAGCCTCCTGAGTAGCTGGGATTACAGGCAGCCACCACTACGCTCAGCTAAATTCTGTGAGACCGTGCTTCCCTCTGTCACCTAGGCTGGAGTGTAGTGGTGCAATCTCAGCTTACTGCAGCCTCCAACCCCTGGATTTAAGTGATTCTCCTGTCTCAGCCTTCCAAGTAGCTGGAACTACACAGGCGAGCACCACCACACCTGGCTAATTTTTTTATTTTTCGTAGAAACAGGGTTTCACCATGTTGGCCAGGCTGGTCTCAAACTCCTGGCCTCAAGCAATCCACCTGCCTCAGCCTTCCAAAGTGCTGGGATCATAGGCATGTGCCACCACATCTGGCCTTAATTTTTGTATTTTTACTAGTCAGGGTTTCACCATGTTGCCCAGGCTGGTCTCAAACTGGCCCACTTCAGCCTCCCAAAGTGCTGGGATTACAAGCATGAGGCACCATGCCCAGCCAGAACTGTTTCCTTGTTTATGGCTGAATAATATTTTATTGTATGGATGGACCACATGGTGTTTATTGGTTCATCAGTTGGACACTTGAGTTCTTCCACCTTGTGGCTATGGTGACTGATGCTGCTGTGAACATGGGTGTACAGGTATCTAGATCTCTGCTTTCAGTTTTCTTGGTTAGATGCCCAGGAATGGAATTGTTAGGCCATATGGAGATTCTGCATCGAATTGAGGAACCACCTAACTTTTCCACAGCAGCTGCACTGTTTTACATTCCCACTGATTGTCAGTGCCTTGCGTTGTCAGCACCATGGACAGGGAGGGTGCTGTCCGAGGTGCTGCTGACGTCCCCTCTGTATATTTCCCTCCAAGCCCTTGATATCCCTGCACCCTCCAGATCTCTGGGTTTTGAGGGTGGGTGGTGGGGGGGACATTAAGCCGAAAGTTCAGTCCATAATTTGGCACCTATTGGTGTCTCCATCCTGACTGGTTCCCCTTCCGCCCTGGCTGTACCAGCCTTCGTTCTATTCCTCCAATTCTCCATCTATTCCTGGCTCAAAGCCCAGAATTGGGCTTTTTACTCTGTGTAGCTTATTAAGCCTGTTCTCAATTGTCACCTCTTCGGACTGTGTACAGTAACTTCTTTGTCCTTGTTGGCCCCTGTCTCTTTGCCTTTATAGCACTTCATTAGTCACAGTTGTTTCATTTGTTTTTTATTGTTTTACTTTATTGTTACTATTGTTTGACACACGATCCACTCTGTCACACAGGCTGGAGTGTGGTGGTGTGATCATAGCTCACAGCAGCTTTGACCTCCTGAGCTCAAGTGGTCATCCCACCTCAACCTCCCGAGTAGCTGGGACTACAGGTGCAAGTCACCACACCCAGCTAGTTTTGAATTTTTATTTTGTAGAGGTGGGGTCTCACCATGTTGTCCAGGCTGGTCTCGAACTTCTGGCCTCAAGCAATCTGCCTCTCTTGGCCTCCTAAAGTGATGGGATTACAGGTATAAAGTTGTCTTTGTTTTCCTGAGATGAAGTCTTGCTCTGTCACCCAGGCTGGAGTGCAACGGCATGATCTGGCTCTCTGCAACCTCTGCTTCCTGGGTTCAAGCCATACTGCCTCAGCCTCCCAAGTAGCTGGGATTACAGACATCCACCACCACACCTGGTTAACTTTTGTATTATTAGTAGAGATGGGGTTTCACCATGTTGGCTATGCTGGCCTTTAACTTTGACCTGAGGTTATCTACCCACCTTGGCCTCCCAAAGTGCTGGGATTACAGACATGAGCCACCACACCTGGCCTAAAGTTTTTAATTAACTATTATTATTTTTTTTTTTTAGAGATGGTCTCACTCTGTTGCCCAGGCTGGAGTGCAGTGGTGAAGTCATAGCTCACTGCAGCCTCAATCTCCCAGGCTCAAGCGATGCTCCCACCTCAGCCTCCCAAGTAGCTGGGACCACAGATGCTTAGCCAGGTAAGCATCACCACAGCTGGCTAATTTTTAAACTTTTTTTGGTAGAAACAAGGGTCTTGCTGTGTTGTCTGGGCTGTTCTCAAATTCCAGAGCTCAACTGATCCTCCCACCTCGGCCAGCCAAAGTGCTAGAATCAAAGGCATGAGCCACCATACCTGGCCTCACGTGTTTACTTGTTAAGACTCACTTGAATATAAGTTTCATCACTGGAAAAACCTTGCATCGAAGGGTCCCTGACTCACAGTAGGTGCTTAGTAAATATTT